GGGGGCGCACCGGGCTCGCTGCACCACTCATTGTATTGCAGAACCATGTGCAACAAGCTACTGTTTTACCACAAAATCTCCTTATTAGCGATTTCATTTTGAAGCTTAACCCTAATCAAAACATTCGTTTCTGACAATAAACATTCTGGCTATTTAAGGAATAGATACTGTCAGAACAGGAAAGGAATTTAAAGTTTTCTCTGGCATTAGTAATTCTGCATTTCGATGACGAAGAGTTTTCAAAGTTTCAAGAATAGCACAGACCGAGGTGATGATTGATGACGGTAAATGTTAAGTGACTCGACCGAACTCACAGACAAACAACCATCGTTCTAACAATCAATGGTTTGAGTTCTGTTGTTGTTTGACTTGTGATCCAAGAATTGCCCGCCTTGAGATTAAGGGAACTTCAAGTCGATCATGAGATCTGACTCTTTTAATGGAACAGTGATAGAGCCCGCTTTAACACAATGCATAAATGGGCCGACTTGTGCGGTGCAATGTCACGACCACACAGAAGACAGGCGTAAAGTGAAAGCATTTCTGCGTTTCATCTGATAGCGTGCGTGCCGAAGTCCTAGTTTTAGTCTCTTTTCCTTTCCACTATTTTTTGTAAGGAAAGAGAAAGTGGATTTTATAGTGGAGGAGAAACATGAGAAAGGGAAACATCCTCAAATATCAAAAAATGGATCTGAATTTTGCTTTTAAAAAGTTTCAATAGGGGCCGACAGTGTAGGACGGTTGGTACAAACACTACAGTACCCAATGTGGCAGAGTCTGTACGACCACCGTACTGTCCCACACTAACGATTAATAAATATTACTTCAAAGCTGTCCGTAATATCAACAAAAAGGCAATTCAGTGTATCGAAAACCGTGAAATTGTCTATTGGTGGGATGCAAGTCGCCGGCGCAGGGGAGCGGCAGCGGGTGGCGCGGGGGGGAGGGTACACATTATTTAACGCTTGTTATACATGAATGACAAACATCAGGGGATTATAACATTTTTGACATTTTGCTGACGACACTCTTAATTGTTAATTAGAAGATTATGTTTGTAAAATTTCTTGAGTCCTTTGTAAGCATTGATTATCTATACTAATCATACTAATACTAATAATATAAATGCGGAAGTTTAGATGGATGGATGTTTGTTTGTTAGAGTTTGTAGCTTAAACGGCTTAACGGATATCGATAAAATATTGCATAGATGTAGAGGATAGTCTAGATGAACACATAGGCTACTTGCATTTGTATTTTTAAATTCCGCGCGGACGAAGTCGCGGGCGAAATCTAGTATTATCTAATACAAAAACAAAATCGGTACCATGACAGGACCTGTCGACCGACTCGGCGGCCACTGAAACGACATCGGCAGGGCGAGGGGATGTTGTAAGTCACTTTTATCACCACACAACCTTTCTTAATGAATGTTTGTTAAAGATTTTATAGTGGTCGAACTCACTTTAACAGCTTCGCACGAATTGACCGGCTCGCCACGTGCAGTACCACAACCACCAGAACACAGGCGTGAATTTAGAGCTATTCCACATTTTGTGGGCCATGAGTGTGCTTGCCGGAGACCTAATTTTAGTCCTTTTTCCTTTCCAACCTTTTCTTATAAGGAAAAGGATCTGAGGGAAAGTGGATTTGACTTTGGAGGAGACGCATAGGAAGGAGGAACATTTTTTTGTGTATCCTCCATCGTTTAAGGCTAGGCAACGCATCTTCAATTGCGGATATCGCTAGGCAGCGGATTCGGGTGACAGATTGCTCGTTTGCCACCTAATGATGTAAAAAAGGTATTAATCTGCACCTGAACGTATTAGAGTAAGATGGAAATAATTTGTGGCAGAAATTGTATGTGGCAGTGCTTGTAGTTATACTATATATACGAGGCGAGGCGAAGTGAGGCGAGGGTAGCGACACGCGCGCGTTTGAGTGGGTTGCAGCCAGCGCGGCCACGAGGCGTGGTGTCGCCGCTGCAATGTAACTGGGACTCGGATTGGTGACACAGTTTGTTTTCGCACAAAGATTTAGCGGGTTGAAGTGAGGTAGAGCAGCGCTTATACTCTAGCGTGCGACGTTCACGAGAGGCACTCTAACATTGTTATCATTTATTGACATGTTCATCAATGTATGCAAACCCACCAGTTGCCATAAGACTTTAGTGGCGGATGCAATGCAGTAGACTTCATCGTGGGAAAAGTGAGAAGCTTATAACATTTTTACATTCAAGGATGTTCACCGAGCAGGTTTGAGTCAAGTCTCACATTAAACTATTTTCTCCTTGAAGGGAAAGCTATCCTTTGTCGATTTCGTCCTTTACCACTCCTCCCAATACTTAACAAAGGACGTTGTATCTATATTCGAGTAAAGTTTTAAGTAATTCTACTTCAAATTAATAACACACAATAACATTGCTCTTTATGAATACAAAATTTCATCTCCCCACTTTAACCTTTAGGACATGAATATCATAAATTCCTGCCGTAATGCTCTGCTAAGTCAGTCAGTCGATCAGTTTATACTTTCATACAAAGTAAACGAAAACTTAAAACGGGCGAACTGAAATTCAACTAATTTCATTCTTAAATGCCATTCAATATGAATTTATATTTTCACGAAAATATCGAATATTTGATAAAATTAATTCGACGGTGTTGGACTTTACTATGAAATGTGTCAAGCAAGCACCACGCGAGCGAGGACCCCGGCACGCCTTTGCGTATTATCACACCATCAAATGTTAATTTAATACTTTATTGGCTATTTAACGTATTGAGGGCCATCCGCCACCGCGAATCCCGTCTGCCGACACTCACCGACACGCGCCGACACTCGCCGACACGCGCCGACACACGCCGACACGCGCCGACACACGCCGACACGGTCATACACGCGTCGACACTCATGATACTACACACAGCTTAATATAAATCTATTTATGTAGGTAATTAATCGACATGCGCCTCGAGTGATGTACTTTGCATGCCGAACAGAAGGCGACCAGCTGGATGTGATCGAACTGCGTATATCGAAGCGAGCGCATATTCGCCTAGCGCGCTTGCGCACTCGCCCCCGACTGACAACATGAGGGTTATTGTAAGACATAAGAATTAATACTACAGATGTGCTCTCCACCTGCTCAAACAAATACATAAAGTCGATTTCAATCAAAGTGAAGAGGCAGTGCTTATGGGGCGCTCCTTGTCGGAATTGTTACTTAAATCGCGCCCCGCACCGCACCCCTCGCCGCGCACTCCGCGCCCCTCGGCACTATCTGTTAAATAACAATACTGCAACTGTCGCGTTATTTACAGCCTCTATGTTTTAACTTTAACATAACCTTTATGTCTTACGTTTTACTTATTTATCTTCATACTAGCTGTTCCCGTGCGACTTCATTCGCATGAAATTATGAAAATTGTTTTATTGATTACATTTGTCAAATTCAATTGCAAATGTCAAAATGACAGACATGATATGATGACGAAGCATGACAATTTTGCTTCCTTGATTTTGGCAGCAAATTACATGTATATGGTCTTTTTCCCACATTAGGGTTTTTATCCAAAACATTTACCCCTTAAGCTTAATGGCGTGAAAATATATAGCCTAAAGCAAGACGTAAGTGAAGAGCTTTTTATTAAAAAAGAATTATTCGAAAACATGCTGTAACTGCTGACATCTTAGGCAACAAAGAAGTGTGTGTTTACGCTTTATTATAATAGTATAGATATAGATACATACGTTTGAGGCGCACTGCCTAGACCTTTTCTGCAGTCCCTATGTTTTTATGTACGGCGCCGCAGAGCGATCTCCGACATCTCGACCTGCCCGACGACGAAACGCTCGGGGTTTTTGATATTTCTTTATGTAATCTGTGCGTGCTCTCGCTGCCGAATGTTTGTAGAACTCATCCCCGTCATAAATAATGTATTGACAATATTTGCACACCACCAAATACCCAATTTTGCCACTGAATTCATCCCTTTACGACCAGTGCAACGGGAGCTATTACAATGATCCCTTTCCCCGACGACACTGCCCGCAGCCATAGCAGGGCGCACATCAAACAAGGCTTTAGTAACGAAGAAATAAGCAACATAATAGCGTTTTCTGTAGTGCACACAAACAGCCCGTCAGCTGTTAGGCTAATTTGCGGTACCGGCAATTCATGTTTGGGTATTAGCGGAATAAGAATTGATTTTAGAGATCGAGAGGCGAGGGCGGCGCGCGGCAGCGAGCGGTACGTGTACCGCGCGTATTGCGCCGCGCGTGCTGCGGCCGGACGCGGCAGGGTTCGCAATAGCGTTCACTGTTTCCTCCACCATGTTTAAATTGGTGGTTGTTTCAAACATTCGCAAACATAAGTAATTTAACTAAAAATGTCTCAGACTTCAAATAATTTATTGGAAAAGGTGTACCGTCATCAGATTTGTGTATCTTTTTTCTTGTTCTGTATCTTTTTACTGTATCGTAGTCATTACAGGGGTCGACGACCTTAGAGGTAAAATCACTGATTTCATTTTAGTCAATAAAATTGTTATTTTAAATTTATTTTCTACATATTTTTGCCCGTGCACTCAAATTATTAATACTGTAAACAACGGTAAGTTTTTTCAATAATTGTTTTACTTTTGTTCAATTATATTAAACGGCTGAAGAAATTTCATGACGCCACCGAAAGCTTTCTACTTTAAACAATAATTATTGTAAGTAAACTGAGGGCCGTGTCATTTGACTCGCGACGGTTAACTACGGAGATTAAAAGTGAATGTACACAATAGAATAGAATATAACACGACAATCATAGAGTTGGCGTCGGCCGCGGCCGCGGGCGCACCGAACAAAATAGGCCATAACGAATTTCCAAAGTAAACACAAACGCGACGCGCCGGCTGCTGCGCGCACATCTGCCGCTCCGCGACTCTCGCCCGTCGTGCATAGCGTTAAGGTCGCAATCGCCTCGACGCGACTCGACCGTTCACTGGTGCCGGTCGCATGGGCCGGGCTCGGGGACAAAGCGTGCGCGCAGCCAGGGGCAGGGGTGCGCTCGAGCATTCACTACTTTTCGCTCTTTAGCGGGCTTTGTTCCAATTTGATTTATATTCATAGGTCTGCTTTTGTTATTCCCCGGCGCTAAATCAAGTGCGAGCGCTCCGCTGCCGCCTTAATTGCTGCTGGATGCTGAACAACTTAATGTGCCCGGTGATGTTTAGTTTGCACCGATTTTTTATGATATCGGAAATGAATTGTAGCGGAATTAATAAAACTTGCCATGCTTCAAAGTAAAAAAATATATTTTCAAATTGTTACACAATAAAATGTTTATATGACTAGACATAGACTTTGGTAATTGTAACGATGTCGGCACTTTGTACTATCTTATTGTCAAGTTTTCTACTTATTTACTAAAAGTGTAAACACTCTAAAATAGTTTATACATAAGGCGACTAGTGCATTTCACAACCTACTTGGTCATATCATCAAATTTGAGCGTTAATAACATTATTCCTGTAATAATTTCCATAATATCTCTGTTCGTTGCAGTAAAAGTTATGCGCGCAGTGAGCGGCAAGGTGCGCGCCCGCTCCCGACCACCCCGGCGCGCCATGCCCCGCCTCGGGGTTCGTTATATTTGAATGGTTTGCGGCAGTCTCAAAGGCAGTTTTAAATATTTCATAGTTTTTCTGATTAAAATACTCCTCAGATTCGTGAGGGGCAGAGTATTGGTAGCCGCTGTCGTCGAGGTTGCCGCAGGTGACGTCACCCGGCGCGGGGAAAAAGCCACTGCCCGTCGCGGAGGCGATGCAGTTGCCGCCCGCGTTGTTCACCGATACTGTCACGTTGCCCACGTTGATCAGCACGCCTTCTGAGGTCCGTAAAAAATTAGATCCGTCAGGGAACGGCTTGCTGAACCCCTGGAAACTTCTATAGTCGCCGTCCTCGGTGTAGTCCTCGCTCTTATTGGCTAACAGAAATATTTCTCTAAAAGCATCTTTATGTAGCTTATCAGACGGCGCGTAGCCCGTGTGGGTCTCCCGCTGGGCGCCGCCGTTCAACGCGTGCAGCGTGCGCCCGAGGGCGCAGATGTAATTATGCGCGAACCGCAGCGTCTCTATCTTTGTGAGCTTCGTGTCCTCGGGGAAGGCGGGCAGCGCGGCGCGCAGCCGGTCCAGCGCCTCGTTCAGCATGTGCATCCTGTTGCGCTCGCGGTCGTTCGCTTTCATTCGTCGGTTTCTTTTGATTCGCATTATTTGCGACGGGCTCTTGCATCTCGTAACTCTGTTTTTTCCGTTCGCATATTTTCTTTTCGGTTCGTTTCGATCCTTCGATTTTTTCTCTTTCAACTTGATGGGGGTTGACGTGTCCACTCCAGGGAGGAGCTCGTCCTCGAAGCTCTTTATGGGTTCAAGTGGATCTTGGAAAATGTAGCCAAATTCGTCGTCAAAAAGCCTCCGCCTTGCGTGAGAGTGTGTCGCTACATGGGGTTGGTGCGCCAGGGGGTGGGAGCGCGGGACGGCGCGGGTGTCGACGGGTGAGCGCGTCACTCCGGAGTCGCAGCTGGACGCGCTCTCGCTCAGCACGCAGCTCTCCTCGACCACGCCGCAAAACATGCCGCTCGCCTGCAACACACATGTCGTTCTGTAGGTATACATTAAGGTCACAAATCAGCGAGTAATTTTTATCAATCGGATAGAAAGTATCGATTTGTAGAATTTAACTACTACTTGAGTTAATTTAAAGATAATTATAACACATAAAAGTTGCAAAGTATCGTAGCAGTATGATTCATTTTAAATATCTCATTTGTTTGAAGTTAATGGGGTGTCAGTCAGGGCACCCTGTTGCGGGGTAGTCGCGGGGCGCTCGCGTGTGCTGCGGCAGGTTACGCCGAGTCAATTGAACTTTATCACATTCCACTTCCGGTCCGTGATTTCCGCCGAGCGACATATGTTTCTCAAAGGGGGAAAGCCGTGTTTTATTATTGAGTCCTTTGGATGACTAAAATTAATTATTTGATTTGCAAAGCTATTCTAGTGTGGGTCTTATCCAAAGTCATTTAAAAAATGTACGAGTACTCGTATATACGAGGCTTAGTCAACTTTCACCGGTACCTTACCATATCAGTTTTCAAGTTTAGTGCCACATCGTGTCATTGTGTTGACATGGAATAAAACATTTTACAAAGTTATACTAATCTCCATCTTTTGTTATAAAATATAAAATTTGGAATATTATTTAGCGCCACCTATTGGCAATTAATTCGATGTAATTAGTTTCTTTAACATATTGTTTTGAGGCTACCAAAAAATTAGTGATGTTTATGTGAAAATTGTCTTAATCCAAAAATATACTACACCCTGCTCGTATTGTTTTACATACGTACCCCGCGATACTTGTACACCGCAATAAGATCTTCAAAGAGCAATTAGACGCGCTGGCTCCGGCATTCACACTTGGTATGGTCAAATATTTATATTAATGGTATGATAAAAATTAGACGGAGGGACGATTTTGTAAGTTTATCGTAAAAGCTTGACTGTAAAAAACAGTAACAACTTCCGTTTCTGTGAGTGAACATATGTGCTTGTGTGCTTGCGAGCGTGCCCGATTCTTTTACTGATATCGAAATATTTTGATGATTTCTGTAAGGTACCAAACTGGGGGGTAATCTTATATTTAATAAATCAGTCCGTTGCCTACCGAGTTGTTTGATTGACGTTTCACTGGCGACGAGCGCGGATAGATATCGTTTTTTTTAGTTTTCTCTCGGTGTTTTGTTTTTTGTATTGTGTAATTACAATGCCGATCGGTAAAATAGAACCGTTTACTTTAAGTTCAAAACAGTGGCCGGCTTATATACGTCGCGTAAATCAATACATTTTGTTAAACGAAATACGCGATGACTTGAAGGTACCTACTTTAATAACGGTCGTGGGTGAAGAAACGTATGCTTTAATGTGTGACCTGTGTGCACCGTCGTTTCCGGAAGATAAGACGTACGAGCAACTAGTACAGCTTGTGACAGAGCACTTGGAGCCGCAGCGGTCCGAGATCGCCGAGCGGCACGTCTTTCGGCTGCGGCGCCAGCGACCGGGCGAGTCTCTCACAGATTACTTACAAGCATTGAAACATCTGGCGGCCACATGCAACTTCGGCAAGTGCAGTAGGTGCGCGACCATCGAAGAGAACCTGCGGGACCAGTTCGTGTCGGGTCTGGCGAGTGACGCGATGCGGGCGAGAATATTCGCTGAAAAGAAAATCCAATACAAGGAGGCAGTGGAGCTTGCGCTAGCCTTGGAAGCGGCAGAGCGGCATGCCGAGGTTAGCGGCAACAGGGGAGCCTCGGGGACGGACTCATCTCTGGCGGCGGGCGACGGCGGCTCGGCCGAAGGGCTGCATTACGCGCGGGGCGGCCCGGGAGGGGCGCGCGGGGCGCGGGGAGCACACTCATTACGGCTAGCCCGGGCGGGGAGCGCAGCGGGGGGCGCGGTGAGCGGTGCGTCTAGCGGAATGGCAGCGGGGCCGAGCGAAGCG